CGTTGTGTACCACATTTTAACAGAAAAGTTACTTGGTAGCAAAACTTTTAATATTTGAAAAGGCAAAGCAAGTTGTCTGGCGTTTAAATTGAAAAAAAAAACTGTTTTTGCCCGTCTCGAACCGGGACCTTTCGCGTGTTAGGCGAACGTGATAACTACTACACTACAGAAACTGCTTCCTCTGTCAAAAGCCTGCAGACTGGCAGCCCAAAAATGTCTGCTTACTAAACTTGCACATCTACTGTCAATTCCATTTTGTCACCTGGAACTGAATTGTCAAAGTGGCCTCCTTAGCGCAGTAGGTAGCGCATCTGTCTCATAATCTGACGGTCGTGAGTTTGATCTTTACGGGGGCATGTTTTTAAAAGCTCATTTTTCAATAGTGGCTCTGCCCTGAGAAGCCTTTGTATCAATTGATGGTAAACGCAACCGAGGACTTCTCGATATGAGGTTAAACCTTGATGTTTTTTACCACAGGAAGGCATCGTCCGAGGCCGTTGTGTACCACATTTTAACAGAAAAGTTACTTGGTAGCAAAACTTTTAATATTTGAAAAGGCAAAGCAAGTTGTCTGGCGTTTAATAAAAAAAAATAGTACTGTTTCTGCCCGGTCTCGAACCGGGGACCTTTCGCGTGTTAGGCGAACGTGATAACTACTACACTACAGAAACTGCTTCCTTTGTCGAAAGCCTGCAGATTGGCAGCCCAAAAAATGTCTGCTTACTAAAACTGCACATCTACTGCAAATTCTATTTTGTCATCTGGAACTAAATTGGCAAAGAGGCCTCCTTAGCGCAGTAGGTAGCGCATCTGTCTCATAATCTGACGGTCGTGAGTTTGATCTTTACGGGGGCATGTTTTTAAAAGCTCATTTTTCAATAGTGGCTCTGCCCTGAGAAGCCTTTGTATCAATTGATGGTAAACGCAACCGAGGACTTCTCGATATGAGGTTGAACCTTGATGTTTTTTACCACAGGAAGGCATCGTCCGAGGCCGTTGTGTACTGCATTATAACAGAAAAGATGCTTGGTAGCAAAACTTTTAATATTTAACCCTCACACTACCCTCGGGTCCCGGCGACCCGAGCGTAGGATTCCCCCTCACTCCCGCCGTCCTCGGGTCAACCTAGGTAACCCTAACGCAGCGTAGTGTCACTGGGACCCTGATGGTTGCCGTCAGGGCTGGAGACTTGCGGCGTGTTTGTAGTTCCCAGACACTCTCTTGCCCTCCCCTCTGTCCTTGGGTCTCAGAAACACGCTGTCCTTGGCCTTTCCTCCTGTCCTCGGGTCTCATAAACACGTTCTCCTACCCGCTGTCCTCGGGTCCTGGGAAACACAAGCTCTCTTGCCCTGCCCGCTGTCCTCGGGTCTCAGAAACGAAGGATGAAGAGGCCCCGGACGAGGGCATCCCCCGCTGTGTTTCTTTTCGCCCTCGCCAATAAATACTAATAAAGACAGTGATAATAGATGGACGACCGTGAAACGCGCTCGTCTTTGTATTTCGGGCTCCTCTTTTCTGGCAATACTCTGAGGGCTGTGAGAAGAGATCAAGGGTCACTCTGACCCGCTCGACTGGTGTGTGTACGCGATGCGAGGACAACGGCTGGGTTAGATGCCGAGGTGGCGAGTTCGAGCCTCGCCCGGGCGGTGTTTTTTTTTGCTCTACCAGATAATTATTAACAGCAATGATAATAATAAACCGATAACAGTGAAACACGCGCACGTTGTTGTATTTCGGCCTCCTTCTTTTTGCAATACTCTGAGGGCTGTGAAAAGAGATCGAGGGTCACTCTGACCCGCTCGACTCGGGCTGTGTACGCGCCACGAGGACAACGGCGGGGTTAGATGCCGAGGTGGCAAGTTCGAGCCTCACCCTGGGCGGTGTTTTTTTCACCCTCCCAGATAATTACTAGTAGCGATAATAATAATAAACCGATTAAAGTGAAACACGTGCACGTTGTTGTATTTCGGCCTCCTCCTTTTGCAACACTCTGAGGGCTGTGAAAAGAGATCGAGTGTCACTTTGACCCGCTCGACTCGGGGTGTGTACGCGTGATGCTTGGTGATGTTTGGTGATGTTGTTGTGCAACGTGTAAGTGAAATAAAGGCAGGCTGGGGAGCCTAGAGTAGGCAGGCTACCCAAAGTGTCCAGCCAGGCTAAGCCCAAGTGGCGAAACCCCCGAGGTACTGTACACGGATTCGGGAGATGTTCACCCTAGCCCGGTCACAGAGAGAATGATACGATTCAGGCAGGGGAGCCTAGAGTGGGCGGGGCTACCCAAAATATCCAACCGGTCTAAGTCAGAGTGACTGACCCCTCTCCGGTTGGACGATTGCAAAATATCCAACCGGTCTAAGTCAGTGTGACAGACCCCTCTCCGGTTGGACGATTGAGAATGATACGGTATCTTGAGAGACCGGATGGATACGCAAGGTTTGAATGGTTACCACTGATAATATGTGTGAGACAACCACCGCAATGAGCATTCACACTCTGGTCTGGTGATGTTTTTGTGCAACGTGTAAGTGAAATAAAGCTTGGTGATGTTTTTGTACTCTCACATTCATGATGTTTGGTGATGTTGTTGTGCAACGTGTACGTGAAATAAAGGCAGGCTGGGGAGCCTAGAGTGGGAATGCTACCCAAAATATCCAACCGGGCTAAGTCAGAGTGACAGACCCCTCTCCGGTTGGACGATTGCAAAATATCCAACCGGTCTAAGTCAGTGTGACAGACCCCTCTCCGGTTGGACGATTGAGAATGATACGGTATCTTGAGAGACCGGATGGATACGCAAGGTTTGAAAGGTTACCACGGATTATACGCTTGAGACTACCACCGCAATGAGCATTCACACATTGGTCTGGTGATGTTGTTGTGCAACGTGTAAGTGAAATAAAGGCAGGCTCGGGAGCCTAGAGTAGGCAGGCTACCCAAAGTGTCCAGCCAGGCTAAGCCCAAGTGGCGAAATCCCCGAGGTACTGTACACGGATTCGGGAGATGTTCACCCCAGCCCGGTCACTGAGAAAATTATACGGATTAGGCAGGGGAGCCTAGAGTGTGCTTGGCTACCCAAAATATCCAACCGGTCTAAGTCAGATTCCCGCTGTCCTCGGGTCCCGGGAAACACAAGCTCTCTTGCCCTGCCGGCTGCCCTCAGGTCTCAGAAACACAAGCTCATTTGCCCTCGCCGCTGTCCTCGGGTCTCAGAAACACACTCTCTCTGCCCTCTCCGCTTGAGTTGAGCTAGGTTGACGTCTAAGCTTGCTAGGAAACACACTCTCTCTGCCCTCTCCGCTTGAGTAGAGCTATGTTGGCCTCTAAGCTTGCTATAAATCTTGAAACATTGTTTATCGCTATGTTCACCTCGGCCTCTTCTTTCTTTCTGATCGGGGTCAGTTTATTCTCTCGTTCCATGGGGTGCATGTACAATTGAAAAGACGTCAGATTTGTCCTACTTTTCAACGTTGAAAACAGGTCGATCTTGTCCTACTTTTCAATGTTGAAAACAGGTCGATCTTAGACGTCGAATAGACGTAAACCTTCAACGTCTAATTACAATCCACAGCACACAACCCTGGGAAGCAGAATGGTCCATTGTCCAAATATTTTGCATTTATTTTTCATGCACACACTACACATTTCTGTCACCAGAGGATGACATCGTTGCCGTGCCACCGTTATCCCTCACACTACCCTCGGGTCCCGGCGACCCGAGCGTAGGATTCCCCCTCACTCCCGCCGTCCTCGGGTCAACCTAGGTAACCCTAACGCAGCCTAGGGTCACTGGGACCCTGATGGTTGCGGACAGGGCTGGAGACTCGCGGCGTGTTTGTAGTTCCCAGACACTCTCTTGCCCTCCCCTCTGTCCTTGGGTCTCAGAAACACGCTGTCCTTGGCCTTTCTCCCTGTCCTCGGGTCTCATAAACACGTTCTCCTACCCGCTGTCCTCGGGTCCTGGGAAACACAAGCTCTCTTGCCCTGCCCGCTGTCCTCGGGTCTCAGAAACGAAGGATGAAGAGGCCCCGGACGAGGGCATCCCCGATGTGTTTCTTTTCGCCCTCGCCAATAAATACTAATAAAGACAGTGATAATAGATGGACGACCGTGAAACGCGTGCTCGTCTTTGTATTTCGGCCTCCTTCATTTTGCAATACTCTGAGGGCTGTGAAAAGAGATCGAGGGTCACTCTGACCCGCTCGACTCGGGCTGTGTACGCGACGCGAGGACAACGGCGGGGTTAGATGCCGAGGTGGCGAGTTCGAGCCTCACCCTGGGCGGTGTTTTTTTTGCCCTCCCAGATAATTACTAGTAGCGATAATAATAACCTTCAACGTCTAATTACAATCCACAGCACACAACCCTGGGAAGCAGAATGGTCCATTGTCCAAATATTTTGCATTTATTTTTCATGCACCTTCTAACTGTTCGCATTCGAAGTCCAGGACTGGTTGGTTTTATTCCTTGGCAAGCAGAAGCTGATACATCTTAGAAACTCTTTTTACGCATCTCAAACAAGTGCTAACTGTCACTACGGCCAGTCATTTCAATTTCTTTCATCAGGTCTGGCCGGTTAGCTCAGTTGATCAGAGAGTTGTGCTAATAACACGAAGGTCGCAGGTTCGATGCCCGTACGGGCCATCAGTGTATTTCCATCAAATAGCTTTGTTCAAATCAACACAGATGCATTAACATTCCCGCTCAGAATGACTTAACGTCGAATGCGTTTGTGTCCTCAGCATTACATTGAAAAGTTTCTGAGCACATTGAACAGGTTTGGAACACATAATTTTTTAATTGTCAATTCAATGAAAATGCAAACACTATTCATTTCAGTCAATGGCGATGACTATGCCGAAACAATCATTTAACAGCGTCCTTACCAAAAAGTGTTATACTCGTTTTGAATCTTGAGGCATTTTAACCAATGGCCATTGGTTGCACCTGGCTCCAGAGGCTGAACTACACAGCAGATAGCCTGGACCAAGAATTATGTGGACTTTCATTCACAGATAGCGCGAACACACATTTTGTCAGATGTTCCAAAATGGACAAGACATCTATTGTTAAAATGTCACTTGCTCACCAATACATTCTACAAGTTGATTTTATTGTTGAGTAGATTTTCATTGAATAAACTACGGTTCACTGTTTCTATTACATTCATCAGGTCTGACCGGTTAGCTTAGTTGGTCAGAGCGTCGTGCTAATAACGCGAAGGTCGCGGGTTCGATGCCCGTACTGGCCATCAGTGTTTTTTCCTTCTAATAGCTTCATTCTAATCAACACAGATGCATTAACATTCCCGCTCAGAATGACTTAACGTCAAATGTTTTTGTGTCCCTCAGCATTACATTGAAAAGTTTCTGAGCACATTGAACAGGTTCTGAGCACATTGAACAGGTTTGGAACACATTTTTTTTTAATTGTCAATTCAATGAAAATGCAAACACTATTCATGTCATTCAATGGCGATGACTATGCCGAACAATAATTTAACAGCGCCCTTATGTCGTGGAAATTTAGACTTTTTTGATCAGATCAATCCCTATAGCAAGCTTAAAGAATAGGTTGGAGGAAAGCCTTCATCAGACAACAGGACAATAACCTGTGCTGGATCAGACTGACCTAATGATTACAACTTCTGCATGGTATTTAAAGGAATGAAGTTACGCACACTCATTGACACACCAACCTAAACAGAGACAATGGAGAACAGATGAGGTCCTTAGAAGATCTCACCAAATATAGGATAATTTTCATGACATATGGAGCTGTCATGAAAACCCGAGGGTCACTCCCCAGTCAAGTCGAGAGAGGCCTAATGCATATCCATTTATGGTGAGACACATGTAAACCCATACAGTTGCTTTGACAGTCCATCACAGGTAAGGTAATCAAGACATCTATTTCTAGCATTGGCCCCTCTAACAATGTAAAGATACATTCCGGCTTGTCCTCCGACGGGGAACCAGATTCCGTTTTTCAGAGTCTCGTGCTTTCCGTTCTTAACCTTTCTCTGTGCCTTTTGGCCTAAACAACATCTATGAGACTTACATGTAACTAAACTTCTTGAATGATCATAAAATTCCATAACAATCTGCCCTTTTGTAACATTATAACCCCTTAATCATGTTAAACAATTTAAACAATGTTTTTAGAGTGTCAACTCTAAATTTTAGTTCACTCAAGCTTAATAATTACTCATAACCAATCAGGAATATATGGATTCACCACTGTCATATGTCTGAAACTGTAACCCGTTAAGAAAAATACTTTTACCAAACATAATACCCAATCAATTGAAATAATTCAATGTCAGTACAGTACTTAGCAATGTTCAACACCGTCATTTTCATATTCTGGATTTCTAGTCCTCCATCTAGTGTGAGGAACTAATCATTAAACATATTAGAAAAAAACATCAGTAAATATGTTGGCACTCTTTGATCATCAGAAACATTCACATGACAGATCATTGAGTCATTATTGCAAACACATTCAGTACTGTTTATAAGTGAAGAAACATCAGTCCAGGTCCACATACTCTCATTCTGACCTACTGTAATTTTAGGGTCAGTCATAATGAACCATTCCTCATTGGGTTGGCAGTTGCTTACATTACATGTTATCTGTTTTTGTAACAGCCCCTGAGATCGGGCTTTAACGCCTTTCTCAATACCTGTCTTATTTAAGTTTACATTTGGTTTGTTATGTCGTAGGTCAGAGAACCACAGTACAGTTACATCAATGAGACTAAAAGCAAGATGTAATGCGATATTGCATCTCATTCCCCGAATCCTCCTGTAGGGGTTCCATGGTCGTCTCGCTGGTTCCATGTTATGCAGGCTGTGTTGGTTTCTTTGATTACTGCTGACTGTGTTGGGGGTCAGAGGTTGTTAGCACGTGACCCGTTCAAACAGAAATAAGGATACTTATTCCTTGCCTGTATTCTCCAGAGGTGGAGCCTTTTTCTCTTTTCAGTCAATAACTTCCTTGGAAAGTGTACAATAACATTCTCACAATTTGTAATTGCCTCCTTTGTGGTCTGGATGACACGTTTTTCCTTGATTCTGGTTTGACCTTTTCTGGGGTCTGTACCTAAAGTAATTCAGTTAGCTTCTGATATGTGTGTGTGCGTGTGCGTGGGGGTAGGGCTCAGATGCTCTGCTCCAGTTGTTCATGGTCCAACCTGTTGATTTTTAATGCGACACAACCTGCAAACAGTTATTGCATTCCATATGTCAGTTAACATCTTTAACAATAGAATTACATTGTGTTTACTGCTCAGATTTAATTTTGCTAGGCCAAATACATTTGTAATAGCCATTCTCCTCAACCATTCAAATGTTTAGACATGTTATCCAACTATACACTTCAATTGCCTGAAATCCAAATTTAACAAATGCTATATTCTTGAATATATTTATTACATCACATCCCCTCTTGGTTTCTCCTTAAGCTCATCAACAATGGAGAAAACAAACTACTGTCATAGACAAACTTTTTAAATTTATCTAAGATAAAACACATGACTAAAATATGGTTTATGACCAGCCATCTGTTAGCTCTGGGCTGAGCCACCTCACAATCACACAGTAAACCAGCCCCCTTCTAAATAAGCAACTTCGGTGTGCCCCCTCTTTTGAGCCAGAGAAGCACCCCAGGGAGGGTCAAAGAAAAGTTCATAAACACCCCTAAATTAACAGAAACCATCTCTAGACAGGCAGACAAAGAGTTACAGTTAACTTTCTGCCCTTTTAACAATCAAGAACTCAGAATGTCTTAAACATGTAACTCAAAATAGCCAAAAGCCAATAATAAAAATAAAAGGGTGTATCAGAAATACACTTAACCCACATGGTCATTCATTATATCATCATGCCAACATTTATAGGAACAAATCCAAATGTCCTTATTCAACTTCACAAAACTAAAAACGAATATTATCTCCCTATAACCTAGAATGTAGTACTCCTACAAAACAAACAAAATAAAACATATAGTATACCAGGTACATTAGCGCAAATGTTACATAAGGCCTAAAAACAAACAATAATATAAAATAGGAATTCCTCGTGCACAGGAAAACCTGAAAATAAATGTCGACAAAACTTTGGCCTGGGACCCCTGTCCCAACTTCATGAAGCTTTACCCCAGATCATGCATGAATCACACCTAGGGTATTTTAATATGATATTTGCGTACGCGTACGTACGAACCTGGACAGCGAAAAATAAGAACTCTCAGTAACAATGAGCTGATCTCTACTGAGATATTAACCTGACAGAGCTATGCAGTCTTCTAGTTGAAACCGGTAGTGTATTTTCTACTAACACAATATCAGATGACATAGGTTACAATGAGATATCAACCATCATAGGCCCAGTCACGCTCTCCGAGCTGCACGGACCTGACAAACACCGTTTATCAGGTGATACGCAATGTACGCTACCCTACGCTAAACACCTAACTTTAAGCGTAAGCATAGTGCCAAGACACCCGTACTCCTCCCCAGTGGAACGAAAATCTCACACAACCATACGCCTGCATAGCAACTCAACACTCAGAATAAACAAGTCTTCACTAAACATCCGAACAAAATTACTTTAACTTTAGATACTATCATAATTGATTAATTACAGGATAACATAATGGTTTGATCTCACCGGGTTGATGTTTTCCAGCCCGTCCCCTCTGACCGTCAGTACCCCCGTCCGTGGCAGCCATGGGTCCTGTGACGCTCCAGTTGGTCGTCTGCTGTTGTGCCATCACCGTCTCCCATACTGTCTCTGTTCCCATGGTAATAGTCTCTAGTGTCCGGCACAGTGCAGTCACGAGCCCAGTGTCTAAAAGCACCACAGTTGAAACAGCTATCAGAGTTGGGACTTTGGCTGGAGTTATCACCCTGGTGTCTGGATTGTCCTCTCCTGCTTGCTCTCCGTCTCCGTCTCCCTCCTGAGTAGCCTCTTCTGCAGAAGTCCAGTTGGGCCATCTGAATTTGCGTTTCACGCTCCCGTCTTTCTTCGGTCTGTTTGTACAGCTGGTCCTCGTAGACTCTTTCAGCGTGCTTAAAATACGGCCAGACGGTTTCCATGCGACCCTCATCCAGGTCTACACAGTGGTTTTGAATGTGCTTTCTAATGTCTGGTAGAAGGCCTGCAACTAACCTCATTTTACACTGTTGCTCCCAGGCTGACTCTTCATCACCGTCCGGTCTCTTTCCCATTCTGCTGTGTAACTCAAAAGCTTTTTCGAGTTTATTCCTGTAGTCTGAAACTTTCTCGCCCAGTGTCTGTTTACAATCAGAGATCTTTTCCCAGTTCATTCGATTAGGAAAAGCAGCGATAAGTCCAGTGCTCAGCTGTTCCACAGCACTCCGGTAGTTAGAGTGCGCATCCCAATTGAACATAATGTTTCTCTCGCTAGGCCAGTTTCCTTTCACTCTCCCCCATTATAGTTGCATGGCCTTCATCAAAATCATTTTAATCTCCACAGAGGTCGGTTTATATTGATTCACGATCTGTAGAAACACACGGACAAATTCCTCTCCACCTTCTGTTTCTGGGTCAGGTAGTGTAGAAGCCACATCTCTCAGGTCGGCGGGTGACCATGGTCTGTAGACTAGTATAGTCGCTGGG